CTAAACTAAACTAAACTAAACTAAACTAAACTAAACTAAACTAAACTAAACTAAACTAAACTAAACTAAACATTAAAACTAACCAAAACAACAAATTTTTACTCTCATGAACGTCTTTAATGGTCATAAACATGCAAAAACATCATTTCTGCAAGATTTCTCAGCAAGGAATGCTGGGTAAATACTGGTCTGTCTGACATGAGGTGGAAGAGGGCGGGGCTTTTCAGAAAACTTCTTTCAACACTGCATGGTGTTATAGAACAACACTGTTAAGTGTTACATAAGACTTAACTGTGGGCGGAGCTTATTTAACACTGTCCAGTGTTGAGACAACACTGAGGAAATCAACACTGTGAATTAACACCAACACTGGGTGTGAGTGTACTCAGAAAGTGTTAAAATAACACTAGGTGGTGTTAAATCAACACCCAAAAGTTTAACACTGAAATTTTAACACTCCTGCTTTTGCTGTGTAGACGAATCTGCAGGATTTCTGCACGCTCTCATCATGGTGCTTCCTGGAAGCTGAGCGGCTCATGGCTCAGCTCGTGTTCACAACAATGGAGGGAGGAGCTTTGTGTAAATAGGCGTGGCTTTGTACCAACAAATATTTAGGCAGCTCCACATGGCTACAGGAGATTCAAGGATTTCTCCAGCATAAACGAGTCAAAGCAACACTGGGTGTGTTTTTGATGAGGGAATGACTTTAAAACACGAAATAAAGATCAAAAGTCCACCCCCACTTTAAATAAATGTCCACGTAAAGACAGATCTCTTGTTAAATTCTGGAGTCCACATCATTTCAAACAATCCAGCACATGAGCTGAAGGCAACATGAACAGGAGGGTTAGACTCACCTTTAAAACCCTGGCCAGGCCGAAGTCCGCCACCTTYCAGATGTTGTTCTCACCAACCAGAACATTCCTGGCTGCCAGGTCTCTGTGGATGTAGTTCTGGGACTCCAGGAACTCCATCCCTGAAGCCACCTGGGCCGCCATCTCAGTCAGATCTGAGACACGTAACGTGGCGCCCTGATCCTCTGCAACCCAGGTAGAAACCAGTCAGAGTCCACCAACCTTCATCACGTTTKTCCACAAGACATGGTCCTCAGAGGGGAAACTGACCATCTAACACCTGCTTTAAWATATTATTTTTTTCCACATTAAAGGTACAGTGTGTAGGATTTGTTGTTTTCAGCGACATCTAGTGGTTGAGTGGTTTAATCATCCTCCCTGGTCCTCCCCCCACCCCCACGCCCCGCTTCCAAACACAAAGGAGTTGCTACTAAGGGTGTAAGAAAATATCGATACACTGAAATATCGCAATATTTCATTTCCCGATACTGTATCGATATTCTAAAGCCC